CTTGAAAGACGAAATTAGAATCTTTGACCTAGCAGTCTAGTTAATTCAGCCCTGTATTTTTAAGGAGGATTGGCATAGAGAGGTTATTTCTGGAACCTTTCTTACCCAGGGTATGTATATGGCTGGGGCCGGGATACCCAGGAAACCAGTTATGCAATACAATTAGGGAACGCAATCAGGAGTGAATGGCCGTCCCGCAGCGCCCTTGGTCTTGGTCGTCATCCTAGGAAGACATGACCAGGAAGCCCGGACATTGTCGTTGAGGCAACGCTATGAATGATTGCGAGCGGGGAGGCTTCGCATTCATACCTTGCCTATTAGCTCAGGTAAAATTCATTCCAATATTGTGGGTAGAAGATACGAGCTCCACGGTGATATGATGATGACGAACTTGTAGTAGGTTGAAAAGGGCGATACAAGCTAAGTTCGTCGACGGACAGCCTGAAGCATCGATAACTGGTTTCCTTGTCGCTGGTCCATTGTAACGGAAATATATCCAAGAATGAACTATAAAGCAAGTTGAAAATCAATTCAGTGGTTGGCAGGAAACCAGATGGCTTTCAAGTCAAAAACGAAGACCAGAAATGATGTGATCTAATCTAATCGTTCGTTTGTCCCATCAGGCTGCCGCGTTTGTAGAAGTTGGTTCAAACCGAGTTCAACGAAATGAGGCGAGCGCAGAGTGTGCGGCACTATGCCCGGCCCTCTCTCGCACTTGGTGCGGATGATCTAGGAATGCTCCGCGAAGGCGATGAAACGAACGAGGATGTTTTACGTCGACAATTACTTGATAAAGACCGCGAGAACGACAAGGTGCTGCGGCGACGTTGCTGATATCACTTTTTGAACTTGACGTGTCTTTTTATGTCTATGTACAGTTACAAACGCAAATACAGGTCCTACAGGCACAACTGGCCCAACGCCCGCCCTTAGAGGAGGTTCAACACATGGAGAAGGAGTACAAGAACCTCGACCTTCTACTGCAGGGAACGCAACGCGAGAATGAACGGTGTATGACTGAACTTGAGCGGTATGTGTCATCCAACTGGCGATCATTTCACCGTTTGAGCCCAAATTCTCGTGTTGCAGGGCCCGAACGCGCGAGAAGATGCTCGAACGTGAACTCGCAAGGCTCGCTGGGGACAATTGGCAGGTTCGTCTCTGACCTCTCACTGCTTTACTTCACCGAAACTCAGCTCTGTATTTATCAGACATCGTTAAATATTACCCCCGTCTTGACACAGAACACTTCTATCCTTTCCAGCCCCACACTCACGCGACGTACACCGGCAGCATCGAACAATCTAGACAGTGGAGACATGGCCGCACGTGTAGAGCAAGTGCGGATGCTGATCCTCGGAATGGAGCAACGCCTGCAGGTGAGGGAAGAGAAGTTGGTGAAGACTATCGAGAGAGCGGAAAGTGAAGGGCAGAAGTTTGAGGAGCAGCATAAGGCTCTGAACGTGTAAGAGGAGATATCCCATTCTGTTGTATCCCCGCACTGTATCATACTGCATCGAGGATAGGCTGGTGACTATCTATACTCCCGCATTCTGTACAATATACTCAATCATGCATGGCTATCGCTTTTCGTTGTCCTGCACTATTAAAGATTGAGAAAAAGCACAACTATATAATACAAACGCGTGATGACTAGGAGCCTAACACTTCGAGTAGTTGAGCTAGCCTGTTCATCTCATCAGGATCAACCAACCGTAGCCCATTCAGTGTCGATAGAATCTTCTTCCATAATTCTAAACTCTCCGCTTCAATTAAATGCACCACTTCGTCTGTCAGGATGCCTGCATCTTCAATAAAGGCTGGGTTGATAAGGCACTCTCCAAGAGCATTTAAATATTCGCCCAAATTGAAGTAGTGGCCTGCGATCGCGGAGACGCTGATCGTATGTTGAACCAGGTAGCTGAGTAGAAATCTAACATCCTGTTTCTCGTCTTCAAATTTCTCGACCGTCGCGGGTTTCGCGTTGCTTCGCGAACCATTTTGTTTGATTTCGTTGTAGCTGCCAGCCCAATCCTTCAGTGTCGAAATGAGGAGGGCCTCCGGGCAGAGAACCGGGACTAGAATTAGAAAATTCATTGCATTGTTTCTCCCCTGCATATACGCATTGACAGGAATAACACTCACAACCTTGCTCAATCACTATCCATTCCAGGAGATTTTGTGAGGACCCCAAAGCTCCGTCGCGGGGAAGAGCCTGGGTATGTAAGGGTTTGGTCGGGTCCTACTCATGTCCGTCAGTAAGTGGTAAGATGTACGAATAGAGAAAGGCAAGCGCAGACCTCGAAGTAGATCTTATTGTCATCATTGCTCCGTGACTTGAAGGAAGTGTGTACAGTCAGGAAATCAGTGATTAACGTGGGTATCTCCTCAACGGACAAGTCGAGGATAAATTCCAGGCCATACTAAGTATATTTATTTCGGGTTAAGGCGGTTTCAATGAGACCAAAGGAAAGAGACGAACGGCACCTCTGCGGCGTCCTAGAAGTTCTAGGGCAAATCCACCTGTGAAGGCACATTTTTTACCTGCACTGAGAGTGAATTGAAGGACAGCATCAGCAAACGGGCGCAATTGATCGAATGATAGAGGCAGTTCTGGAAAGGACTCCGCGGAAGACTTGGTCGCCGGATTGTCGGCAAGAGGGGATGGGGGGACAACTGCCGAGCCATTCGATATACTTTGGCTTGTACCACCGATACCGTCAAGTCCAATAGTTGCCTTGGTGGAAGGATTGGTGGAAAGATTGACTACGGTCGACGTTCACTCGTACATTAAAGGGTGAAATATTTTCGAGAACAAACGCGGGTGTCTTGGAGGATACTGATATCTTGGGTTCCTGATTTGGCCTCTCTGTTATGACATTGGTCAACAAAGTATGAGGTAAAATAATCAGAGCAGTGGGGGTAGTTATCGTGTCCACTTTGGCTTTTTCCACCGGCAGCGGCGAGCTGGACGTGGCAGGGGAGCTAGTCGGTGAAGGGTCCGTGGAAGCCAAAGGTGTAGTAGCCGCTGACAGGGTCTCGTCAGATGAAGTTACAGGATATGTAGCCATCCATTTGGCCGCCCCGGAGCTCAATCTCCGTCCCTGCGGTTGTCCTCTGATATGCGAGAGGTGGTGGTAGAGCGGGCTGCTCCAGGAAGGCGTTTTCTACATATAACAACTCGATGTGAGGTTGGTCATGAGGGTGAAATAATATGAACTCACAACAGGCGATAAAGATACACGGTTGAGACGCATGCTTCCATGGAATGTTAACTCAAGAGGCGGAAGCGAACCAATCAAGCCCTCGTCGCCCTCGAGCCAACTTAGCGACATCGCGTTCTTGATGATGAGCGCAGCGGCACTAATAATGTAACTGGAAGACGGAGACGACAGGTTGGACAGCGAGCCCTTCCAGTCGCCGTGCTCGAGAACAAGGACGAGCTGATCGGTCTCTTCGCGGTATGCCAGCTTGACGGGAGGAATGTCCCCTCCCGAGGCAAAGGCTCTCGGAGGAACATCTCCAGGTGAACCTCCATCGTAGTGTAAAGCGATCCAGGCAAAAGCCTGCTGATCCTCGTCGCTGGGAACGAGAGTGTTGTTATCCTGGGTTCCGGGTTTGAAGTAGTCAAATATATTCAAGACATCGAGGGCATATCTGAGAATTACAGTGGCTTGACTCTCGTCCGAAAATTGCGAGCCGGTGCCCAAGAGGTAGATCGACACAGACCCGGCTTCGATGCGAGGGGTTTGAGCCTCAAACAGAGACTGAAGTTCCTTGACAATAGGTGCAAGATTCATGGCAACAGTTTGTGCATTGCCATCAGCACGAAGACCTATGTACAAAAAGTTAATTCATATCATTTGCTGCTCAGCCTGAGTGTCGAACGGACTTACCTGGCTTTGCTACGAGCCGAAGCTGTTCCTCGGGATCCAGAGCGACTGCGCGAAGTGTGGAGAGGTCGCCTTCGCACTCATATATGTGAGCCCTGGATTCCTCGAGACCACATTCAATAATTGCGAGAAAAGTCATTGTCAAGGAAGTTAAGGGGGTGCACAACCGTTCTTCGCTTTAATGTACATACATAGTTCGGTGGGGCCCGTCACGATGATTGGCACGTCAACGATCATGGGAACCGAGGACGATGCGGTAGGCTAGCTGAGCTGAAAGTCTCGCCGATTGGTGCAACATGCACAGGTACAATTCCCCCACCTGAGCCTGCCCAAATATTCTATTAGTAGAAGCCAAGTTCTAGATTGCCCTGTGGGTCATCGCTCAAGCCGCAGCACATAAAATCGGCAATTCTACTCGGTCTTGTGTTGATACCGCGCATTTGAGCTGGATTGAATGAAGGAAGAGGGGTAATTCGGCCAAAAGGGATACATCGAAGCTTCAAGAGGGATGGTTGAGGTATACAAATATGGTACTAGGATGCTTATGACGAGAATGGGCACGATCTCCTCACTACACGGGGCGTTGAATACTCCTCAACCATCGCGGCGAACGTGTATATGCATGAGCCTAGTAGCGTAGTGGCCATCGCGTAGGCACACAGGTCTAATGGCGGCCGTGTGTGTTGCTATAGCCCTGTTCGAATCAGGGACTGGGTGGTTCGAGAATGTCAAATAAAGCTGTCCTTTTTCTTTTTGGTACAAGTTAATGGTGGGCGATGGACGGGAGAGGGGAAGTTGATGTTGGGCCTCAATACGCCCTACAAGGCCCAGTAGCGTAGAGGTGATCGCGTGTCGGTCAGCATGGGAGGAGTCCTTTACTCATCAATATAGCCCTGTTCGATTCAGGGACTGGGCAGGGGTTGCTTTTTTTGTCCAGCGACCCGAAGGAAATCACGGCGAAATGCGCCCTTTAGAATGGTGTGCGGTCTCGGGTTGTGGGTGTCTTATGTGTTGGCTTACGAATCGACAACTTGTTACGGAGGCGCGATTGAGAGGGGAGGGCGGTACTTACTAGGTGTAGTGTTAGACCTCGATGCCCCCACCAACGCCCAGTAGCGTAGCGGTGATCGCGTGGTATATAGTAGTGCTCCCGGGTTCATACCCAAGGGCTGATATGCCATAGCCCTGTTCGAATCAGGGACTGGGCAGCGCCTGCTTCTTTTTGTCCATCAAAAGATATTCCAAAGCGCAGCATGTCGTATTTCCTTCATATATAGGTTACAGGCGACGATATCCTTAAATCATAAAGCATAGCTGACGAGGACGTGGGGATGTACATTATGAAGGCGCACCGGTAGATTAAACGTCCTCCAAGAGGCCCCGAGAAAATATGATGATATGAAGTCATATCATAACGCGCATATCGGGCGTTGATGTATAGCAAAGCGAGTGTAAGAGAGTCCACATAAAACCCAAAACCCTGAAACCCGCATATATAGTAATAGAGACGTTGCCTGCAAAGGTGATAACATGATGAGAACGAAGGAATTATGATGGAGGGGGAAAGCCCAAGAGGTCCGTGGTGGTGGGCAGGTATCGCTTGTGATGTGCGTCATGATTCATATGGGGTATTTAGTCACTGACACAATCCGCAGATCGTCGACATGACATGATCGCCCCGCAGTTACTTCCTGGTAAGATTCGGAGCCTCCTCTTGCGGGATGATGTCGATCGACACGGACCGGGTGTCCCTGCTCTCCACTACAACTGCATGCGCCTCATCCGGCGGCTGGCTGTTGCGTCGTCGGAGCAGCGGAAGCGCGAGTGTCCAGCGCTGCCTCTTCTTTGCGAGGCTCGGCGGGACAGGCGGGGGCGTTGAACGCATTTTCGGATGGGTGAGCGAGTAGGAGGGTAAATTGGTAGGAAAGGAGAAGAGAGGCGGGAAAGAAGTATGGCTGGCGGGCGCGGAGGTGAGCCCGTTGAGTGAGTATGCGGAGGCTGCTGGAGTGGGTGCAGGGGCTGAGATGGATGATGAGAATGATGAACTGAGGATTACGGTTGATGAATCGGGGGGGTCGATGTTGGGAAATGGGTATTCGAAACGAGAATCGGTGGTGAACGGCGTGCCGATTATTTCTGTTGTTGGCGAGTGGAATGTTGGACTAACCATTGGCGACTAGGTGTGAAGAAACGTCGGGGAGAATGTTCAAATTCAATTATGGAGATAACGCACCTCGTGGTTAGAGTCGGAAACGCTAGTCTGCTCCGAGTCTATGACGTTGGTCTCCACTATTTCTTCATCAGCTTTCTCTCGATCGTCGATCTTGATCGCGCCTGCCCCAGTCGCGTCTGTGTCCATAGAAAGTCGACTTTGGCTAGAAGCGAGCTCGCGGGATGGTGGGGCAGAAGCCACTGGATCGTATGTTATCTAGTCTGTGTGTAAAAATTGCTTTACCTTTTGAGCGACGTGGAAACTCAGGTCTGAGGTAACATCCAGACATCGGCGATATCCGTCAACGTGCTCAACACGTGCTTTTAATGATCGAGCCAGATAGCGCTCTTTTGTCTCCGCAATTTGCTGTGCATTGACCTCCGAGATCCGTGTATAATCTTAGACACCAGATAAAGCGCCCAAAGTTGTCCATTCAAGGCAACCGTGGTTTGAACTTCAGATCGGCCGAATAAGCCTTCGGAATGCAGCGGTAATATGGCCCAATGAAAGCTCTATATGAAAGCTTTCTGTTTCCGAGGAACTAACTTCCGAGATCCGTGTAGCAATACCCTAGTGTAGATGGCGACCCACAATTAAGTTCGGAGCAAGCATATTTCCTTGTCTCTGCCGAGCGTGAACCCGCAAGACAGGATCCATCCGAGAACGAGGTGAGTCCATTTCAGTGGTACTATCTATCATACACAAACATTCATGCTGTCCCCAGTATCGATGATCTTCTAAGCTTGGCACCTTGCCAATTTGGTTTTTTTTTACTCCGCTATTCGATGGAGCAGGACCTCCTACGTCATTGTTGTGGCGCCGCTCGTCATCAAGCACGAGCGATGGCCTCTTTCCGCAGCGTCTTGAACGATCTTCGCTTCTACCCAGCCAGCACCCATTATGCCACTGTATATTCATTTCCGTGGTGTTCAACTAGACGCGCCTGTCATATGCATGGGCGCAAGCCTCAGGATTTAAATTTCCGGGCCTCTCTGTGAGTGGCATCACGCGAAACCGCGCGCTATTTCGAAGGGCGATTTTCACCGGGACTTTCCTGATGTATAAAAAGAAGCGCTGCCCAGTCCCTGATTCGAACAAGGCTATGCGTGAACACGGGTGTTATACGCCGCGGGAACACCACGCGATCACCACTACGCTACTGGGCCCTGTACGGGGCATCGGGGTGCTACTTACACCACCATTCTCTGCTGTCAGTTGTGCCTCCGGATTTTGAGGCCCATCCCAACCATCCCATCGAAACACAGTTACTACGCCGAAGGAAATGTTAAGTCGAAGGCGTAGGCAAAACACATTTTCACTCGAGCCTACTACACCCAGTCCCTGATTTGAACAGGGCTATATGACACACACGTACTGTCGGCACCAGACCATGTGTGCCTATGCGATGGCCACTACGCTACCGGGCTTATGCGTATACAAGCTCATTGTGATTCTTGAGGAGTACTTGACGCCGCATATAATGAGATAGGTGACATCCCTACACAGGGCGCACAAGCTATGGTCATAAGCATCGATTCAGCCGAAGCAGTATCGTCACACACAAAAGGTTCGTCGATCATTCACAGTGCCCATTCCTTGCATCTAACAAGCAAGGCTTTTCTCCGAGTATGGGCGCTACTAAGCTCCTGGGCATTTCACCTACGCCGCTTGTGAGACTAGTAATACAGAAGCCTTGGAAGGCACTGGGCTGAGGGATCTCTGGGGGCTTTTGGTCGTGCGGTATGATAGTATCCTCTAGTACGGTGGCAACACTGAAACTCCTGAAATTTTGAAAACCACACAGACTGCCCGGTCCCTGATTCGAACAAGATTTTTCTTCTCCCGGGGTGTCCCAGAAGGGACGCGATTTCACTACGCTACTGGGCTGCTACAGTTGTACATGTGTAAGTGTCAAGACATGTCGTGTCGGGTGTCGAGACGGCCCAGACAGTGCAAATCAACGTTTTCGTGTGGGTGTCCTCAGAAACCACGACGATAAACCTTCGGAGCATGGCTCGCGCATGACTGTGACGCCTCATAAGCGCGCAATTCCCGTCATAAGCATTTGTCAGGCGGAAGCGGTGGCTTTCTGCGAGCATTGGTGCCACGAAGCTACTGGGCATTTCACCCACGCCACTTGTGAGACATGAGATGATGATCGGAAGGGTTGGAGGCGCAGGGTCATGATAGTACATAGATACCCATTCCAGTCTACTTGGCTGTAAAATTTCATGCAGAGTGTACGTACGCCCACCACGAGGGCTCCAAAAGCCTTTGATGAATCGTAGTATCACTCAAATTCTTCAAAATTTGAGGGCATACGCAAACACTGCCCAGTTCTTGACTCGAACAAGGCTTCACACTGTGACTGCAGTCCAACAGGCCGCGATGCTGCTACACTACTGGGCAATATAAAACTGAGCAGATTATTTGGTTACATACGGACTGCCCAGTTCCTGATTCGAACAAGGCTTTCTCTCGGAATTCCAAGAGACGCGATCCAGGCAACTCATACTTATTAAATCAGTGGGTCGACAAGAACACAAAAAAGAAGGTTGTTGCCCAGTCCTTGATTCGAACAAGGCTCTTCATGTGGCTTGTCGACGTTTGGTTTACCGACGTGCCTAGACGCGATACCACTACGCTACCGGGTTGCTACAAGAACTACTTGCATGATCATGAGCAAGCGTTAAGATGTCAAGAGATGGCCCAGTCACCGGCGGCCCAAACAGCGCTTCCTCAAGTTTTTGGCTTCCTGTCCTCCAAAGTGATTACGACAATATGACTTGCCTTTTGGGTGGGAATTGTCGAGGACGGGTGCATGAACCCTTTTAGAAATTCAGCACTGTTATAGGTCTACCGAGGCGAATCTTTACGATTGTCTTTAGCTACAAATGTAGAGAGTTAGATATATCACGAGAGTGAGCATTTCAAATTCTACCCAATGCCACTGGGCAATTCAGTGCTATTGAATTGGGCCGACAAGAACACCAAAAAGAAAGTGATTTCCCAGTCCTTGATTCGAACAAGGCTCTTCAAGTTTCACGTCGACGTGTGTGGGTAACCACGGGCAACCACACACGCCCGAGCCGACGTTAGCAGGACGCGATACCACTACGCTACTGGGCTGTCAAAACTAACATGAGCAAGTGTAGATGTTATGCAGTAATTTGGTCGTCGCAAACAGTTATTGCCCAGTCCCTGATTCGAACAAGGCTATCTTGAAGGCAAATTGATTCTTATGTACAAACATAAGAGTCGGTTTGACTTGACGTGATACCACTACGCTACTGGGCGGTGTTGCGGGAGCTGTATGAACAAGGGTTAAGACGTCAAGACACGGCCCGGACGCCGGCCCAAACAGCGCTTCTTTTTGGCTTCCTTCGGAAAAGGCTGTTTGAGTTCTAAGCTGAAGGTCAAGTTTGGCTTCGAAAAGAGAGAGATGTAAAAATCCTTGAAATACGTGTTATAATGAGAAAGATACCAAGACTTGCGGAACCGCATCTCGGGCGAGGTGCTTCATGTTTGCTGAACGTTTAATTGCAAATTGTCACCCGACGCGCTTGTGCGTGATGTGACTTGTCGCGTCTCGATTATGATTATGATGACGCTTTTTAGCCTTGTCAATGTCATTCTTGAACACGACTTGAACTTTCCAAGTTCCAGGTTTTCAACGGCACACTCCGAGTCCCAGGTTTTCAACAACACACTGGTATACGGAACATGTACAGAGTTTTCCTTGGGGCACCATCCTTGGCAGACTTGAACAAAGATCCTAGTTCATTCCAATGGCAAACAATCTCCTCACAAGAGGCGTTCTCGAGCAAACGGACTCTTAGTGCAACTCAATCAATAATATTCCCTCCAGCGACTCTCGAAGCAGCTAGCCGACGAATATCTCGCCTCTACGAGAATATCATCTTTGACGATGGGCCGGAAGAGGCGCAGCCTGATGGCATGGATAGCGTCAGCGAGCCAGAACCATACAGTACGTCTTTTGTATTATGCAGCTCTATCTTGACTATAACAGCCCAAAAACCCAGACCAGACCACCATGATCAGTTGGCCGCCTACCGGGGACCAGACTAGCGCTCGTCACAACCGGTCTGGGCCTTCTTTCCTCTTAGACACTGCTAAGTCGCACGACGTGCAAACCCAATTCGAGACACAGGAAACGCAGTCGTACAACTACTCCGACACATCGTCCATAGCCAACTTCCCGACGTTCCATTTCAGCCTCCATGCGCTCACCTCGTTGGCCTCGCTTGCCAAGTCGAGCCCTAGGGGATCTCGCAAGGTCAGCGTGGTGCTGGCGGCGCTGGAAGTGGACGGCCCCGACACTATTCGAATTAAGAAGGGAGCAGAGGCGGGAAAGGAGGTTTCTGTGCTCTCGTTGATTCTCGGGGACGAAGAGGGCGCAGTGTGCAAGCTCACCGCTTGGCGGGAAATTGCTGACGAATGGGGTGGTTCCAGGAACGCTGTTGGCGTCAAACGGGGAGACGTTTTGTTCATCGAAAGTGCGCTGATTTGCTGCATCACGTTGAAGTTCCCTAACTTACATCACTTTCCTGCAGATGTCACGGCAAGCTGGGATCCCTCAACGTCACCCACACTTTCTGCCTCTCCGCACCTGAAACCTAAGATGGAGATTTGCTATCGCACGATGCCATATACACACGAAGACAACCGGCTCAGGCCAGACTTGAGGCTTGGAGACAGCGATGCTGCCGTCCGGAAAGTCGCTGCTGTTGTCAGATGGTTTGAAGATATGGCGGGACTTGGCTTGGCTCCAGGACTGTCCTGAGATTTCTCCCAGATTTTAGGCTTAGCATCACGCTCATCCGAGATCATTCGGCAAGTCCTTCCAGTTGTAGATATACGCGAAGCTTGACGGCTCATTAAGTAGCAGGACAGTGGTCTCTAGATCTACACACATTACGGCCATCGGGAATCATTCCACTTCGGTGACACCAGCTGACAGTGAGATCTCATCAGTCTAACTCTAGCGAGGGACAAAGTGCTGCTAACTTTCGTAAGTTCTCTGCATATGGCGTCAAATCTGTTACAGATCTCTAACAAACATCCCTAGCAAGGAACACAGGCTTGACCTCGTGCCAGGCTTCATTTTCCAACTACACAGGCCACCCTTCACACTCCTTGAATCTCATCAGAAGCATCAGTCATTCCCCAGCAGACAATACTTCCCTAGTTCTTTTGGAGAATGAGAACAAGCAACACCAAACTGGACATCTCACATTGGAATCTGGGCGTTTTCTGCCGGTCTGAGGCGCAAGCATCACTAACTTAACTTACAGCGATCTCATTATTTTGGTGACATCGGAGCATCGGTCTAGCTTCCGGGATCGGAGCCTTCGATCCGAAACAACGTTGTAACTTCTCTGGAGTCGTGAATTGCGTCTCCGCTGATTTGAAGGCGACGACCGTTACCAGTTACTTATAACTACAGTAGCCTTAGTTTAAATCCCTGTCTTTTTGTATTCCCGCCTTGAAGCTTCCAAAAACCATGGCCCCTAACCTCGAAGTGATCACCAAGAACAGCAAGTAACCAAACAAGTCACTACACAATTTATACCCCATACCACCATCTCGAGCTTCCAAGCTCCCGCCAACCTATCCAAAATGAGCGATGGATTCACAGTCTACCCCCCGTCAAAACTCGGGGAGTATACGGTCATCCAGGATATAGCTGAAGGGACGTTTGGGAAGGTCAAAAGTGAGTGTGGTGAATATCATAGAGTTAATAAGCTTTGAAACTTATTCTACAAGTGGCGACGCACACGATCACTGGACATAAGGTCGCGATGAAGTATATCTCCAAGGCAGTCATCCATCGGGAGAAGACAAAGACTCGTGTGAGACGCGAGTTCGAGTACATGCGGACGCTACAACACCCGCACATCATCAAATTGTATCTACCTTATTGAAGCTTCAGATGTTCAGGAGCTGACATATTTTACGCAGATATGAGGTCATATCAACCCCCACAGATATCATATTCGTCTTGGAATATGCCGGTGGCGAATTATTCAATTATATTGTCGCCAACGGCCGCATGCCGGAACACCAAGCTCGGCGATTCTTCCAGCAAATCATCGCCGGAATCGAGCATTCGCACCGCCTCAAAATTGTGCATCGAGATCTCAAGCCAGAAAATATCTTGCTTGACGAAGAACTGAACGTCAAAATTGCTGACTTTGGTTTGTCGAACGAGATCAGCGACGGCGACTTTCTTTCGACGAGCTGTGGAAGTCCGAACTACGCTGCCCCCGAAGTGATAAAAGGAGGCATGTACGCGGGCCCGGAGATTGATGTGTGGAGCTCAGGAGTAATTCTCTATGTGATGCTCTGTGGAAGACTGCCGTTTGAGGATGAAAACGTCAATAAACTATTTGACAAGATACGAGGTAAGCCCTACTACTATTATCTTTCCATTTGATTTGTCCACTTCATTTTGCGGTAATTTTAATCGCTCGCACACGAGCCAATGAACGTTGCTGAAGTTGGATGAAATCACTTTAAATGATGTCATTTTCTTTACACCTGGCAACACCACTGACTTTGGTCATTTTAGAGGGAAAATTCCACATGCCTAGCTTCCTTTCGACGGAAGCACGCGACCTCATATTCTCAATGCTCGTGGTCGATTCCGTCAAGCGTATAACCATTGCCGACATCGTCCAGCACCCATTCTTCACCACGAACCTTCCAAAATACTTAACCCCGCTTCCACCACCACCTGGGCCCGTGCTCCCTACACTCAGCGCTCTCGTGAGCCCGCCAAAAGTTGTGCTAGACTTTGAAATGATCGAAGGACTCGGGAGGATAGAAGAAGATGTCGTAGAAGAGCTTGCTACGAGGATGGAGGGTGTCACGAAGGACGACATAATGGAATGCTTGAGGCGAGACGATGGTGTGCAGGGTAATGCGGTCAAGGTGGCCTATATGTTGCTCAGAGATAAGCGACGAACAGGAAAAGATTGTAAGCCGACCTTTTTGCTTCCCTATTGGACTTTCTGACATGGACATACAGTGGCCGAATTCGCCGAGCAAGAACGCGACGCACAGCTCGCTGCAATGGATGTGAGTCTTACCTTCCTTTCCACGTTTCAAACAGCCCGCTGATTATCGACCTTAGCCTCGGAATGCACTCTCTCCAGGTGCCTTGTCACCAGCTGGGGGTGACGAAGAAAACCCTTTCGCAGTTGCATTCAATGTTGAATATGGCGACGACGACTACGACGAGCTCCTAGACGATGGCCTGGACTTCACACCACCGCCAGAAGACAACCCCGAAATCAGCAACTTCGCCGTTCTCAACTCCTCCCTTCCCGACCAACTACCCGAACAACATCATCTTACGTCTTACGTCTCTGCGAAACGCACAGGTGCTGGCGTTCGGGAGAAGAAGCAACACAAGACCAAATGGCATTTCGGAATCCGCAGCCGCAGCCCGCCGATGGAGGTCATGTTGGAGATCTATCGGACGCTGAAGGCTCTTGGAATGGAGTGGAAGGAGAAGAAAAACCTCGGTGGTCTTGGGGGCATCCGACCACGGCGCGGTGGAGCGGGCATTGAACGAGTGCGCACTCTAGATGGCGACGGTACCGTCGACTTAAGGGCTGCAGCAGGCATCTACTTTGTGGAGACTCGAGCCAGGGTTCAGGACGTTGTGGTGCGTTCCTTTCTTCCCTATCGAGTCAGCCTTCGCTCAGCATTGATCACATCTTTTTTCAGGTTTTGATGAACCTGCAACTCTACATGGTGGACTCCATCAACTATCTTGTCGACTTCCATCACAAGAAGTCGTACAGAGCCTCGACTGAGCCTGGGGCGGGCAAGTTTGACATGGCCGTCTTCGACCCCAATTTCTCGGACGCGAGCAGCGAGTCCGGGAGGTCCATCAAGGAGAAGGAGGGTATTTTAATCAAGGAGGACGAAGTTGTTTCGCCCTTCGTCTTCATGGACGTCGCGTGTCAGCTCATCCTCGAACTCGCTGGCGGGGGCGAGTAGCTCAAACGCATCACGTCCACTTTCATATTTATCGGCTGCGTCATCTTATCCATCTACCAAAACCTTACTTTTCCTTGCTCATCCCTACATTGGCACG